CGGTCAACATATTGTGTCCATGTTCATAGTTGATATTACTGAGTGTTGTTTTTTTTTTAATGAGGCTTCCATTATCTTTAGCCATCTTATTTTGCATGCAGCTGATGGTATTATATTTGTGCAATCAAATGGATAAATATACAGACGAAATCACTCGGATAAAACGTACAATTGGAAAGTTTTTATATAATTTATCATCCGAAAAGAAAAAAATATTATGTATAAAAAACTAAATCAAACCACATATTCTGTCGTATTCAATGAAAGGAGGATTGCTGCCTAAATACAGATATATATATATATATATATATATATATATATATATATATATATATATATATACGTATAGTCGTATGTAGTTTACTGCTACCAGCAAGCGGAAATATTTCTCCTCCCGATGATGGCCATTTTGGTCGAAATTAGTCGAGGAATCTAAATGAAATAATAATAAAAAAAAACGAAAGAATATTAATCTACATCCCAGTGTGTCTAAAGATTTTAATTTTTTAATATTTTTTTTATTGTTCAATATATATATATATATATATATATATTCCTTCTAAAGTCAGCTTCAGCTCTATACTCATAACGCTTGTCCTTACCTACGCTAATATAACTTCACACAATAACCCTCCTGCTTGAGTGGCTCTTGGGCCTTGTATTGGATGAATATTATTAAAAAAAAGAGAGATAGAGAAACCTGATGTTGCTCTATGTTCTAATCACAGTAAAGGTCTTCTTCTTCGTGCTTTGTCCTTTCAGGGCATAGGCGATCGTAACCCTCCGCAATTCTTTGTCTTTTGTAACTCTTAGTAAATTTTGCCACCACTTACACAAGCTCTTTAGGTAGGTTATGCGAAGCTTTTGGGTAATTTACTTCTGGCTAAATCACGCTTTAAAGAAAAGCGCAAACAATAAGTACACTGTATCTGTCTATATTTCTGAGATGAGGTATTATGTACACTATTTACATTGTTCGGACTATCGTCCTCATCTTTGTTGCCATATTTATCACAACGTTTCGACCGTTTCGGCCACTGTGCCATGTGTCTTCAAGGACAGTGGACAAAGGCGTTAGATCCAGTGACAGGACCCAAAGAGTGTGAGTTCAATACCCGATTAAGGCGATGGAGAACTTGGAGAGGGGAATTAACAGGAGATAATTGATAACTGACATCCATTAGGCATGACACGTGGAACTAGAACAGTCTACCCCAAACAGTGAAATAAAGGGTTCAGTTCGACATTCCAACCACCTGAAGAAGGCCGGAACATAGAACAGCCGAAACTTTGTGATAAATATGGCAACAAAGATGAGGACGATAGCCCGATCAATGTAAATAGTGTAAATGAGTACGCTATACAACTTTTATTGCCTCAAGTGAAAATTTCATGTATTTTTTTTATGATCTTGTTTCAGATTCTCCGAAGACTTACAAATATGTAGCATGTCAGACAATATTCGTACCTTTGCGTCTAGTATTGTAACTACAGAGGCCCGATTGGACGATGGATCTTACGAAAGCAGACTAACCGGAAGTAAAGCTGTCAATTCTCACAATCAGCTTCCTGTTATTTTTCAAAAACAATGGAGGCCAAGATGTCGAAACATTTGCTTCGCCTTAAACTGTTTATCTTTAAAAGATTGACAGTTACGGTCTGACCTCTCTCCCCTTTATATTCAGCCATGTGACTGGGGAAAAATGTCGACAACCACATCAGGATAGAGGCCACACAATCATACACACAAATATTCATAGATAAATATACAAAGCAAGTACGCAACCACAACTAGCAAACACAAAAACACACGGACGCAGACATGTGCGCATACACACGCATAAATAGAATAAAAAAACAAATGCGCGTACACACACAGCTACATACACACAGAGAGACTAACATACACATAAAATTGCACTTAAACCCAACCAACAAGTACTGATGCACACACAAATATACGCATAAACAGATACCTAACGGGTACATACACACACAAACATATACATAAAAACGCACAAACACACCCATATACACACTGATATACACACATAAAAATAAATATATATAAAACCACAGCCAAGTACGCTCAAACCAACCCACACACATATTTACACACACTCATACCTTTTTCAATAAATCATTAAATAATGCAAAATAAAACAGATTATCTTCTTTAACTTCTATGTGCCGTTGCCATTCAGAAAATGACTCTCCACACCTTCCTATGCTTTGCAGTTTTAAGCAAATCATTAGGTAAGTAACTTGCGGTTTGTCTCTGCTACACTTGCCTTCGAAACGCCCTGTGAGTGTCCAAGCCTTCTTTCCTCATTATGCAACCCAGAAATTTCAACTGTCCCTTTCTATTGAAATGAAATGCCCTTTTCGTTCCCATTTTCCGTAAAACTTCCTCCTTGCTCACATGCTTCCTCTATGGTATTCTCATCATTTCTTCGATAGAACCAAATTTGTGTTGCCTCTATTTCCCTCTGTCATATTATTCATCTCTCAAGTTGCCTCAAGTCATCCACTGTCATACTAGAGGATTCATATTGCATAGCAGTTCAGCAGTTTTTTCTAACGATTTTTTTTTTCTATTTCAATTCTTTGCTTAGCTTTTGGAAGGCATCTTTTCGTTATTTTAATGCAACTTCTGGTTTCTATGTCACACTTTCCCTTGTCTATCATAACATTTCCCAGATAATTAATTTTTCTTATTTGATTTTGAAAATCTACAAAAGTCAGTCAGTTATATGTCATGCGTGATACACGCTTAGGCGATCATGTGTCTTTCGATACATGACTGAAGAGGCAGATTTTTTTTCCCGCAGTAGGTTGCCATTTCTTTCTGCCATCCAATTCTATAGAACCTGGTCCTGTCCTGTCCTGTCCTGTCCTGTCCTGTCCTGTCTAGTCTTTACCGGTGGAACGTATATGCTGGAGTGAATTTAAGTCTTGATAAGCACTCAAGGAGCGGAGCCTCCCTGAGTGACACCATAAGAAAAAATTTGACCAGTTAGAGCTAGATCATAGGAGAGACCAGGTGCCAGACTCTGGTCATCCTAAGTTGCACTAGAAACCATGCCTTTATATTTATACTGTTAAGAGATGAGTAAAAGATAAGCATCAGTATTACGTAATTTTTGCTAAGTGAGTCATGGAATGGCTTGTTAATTTTAATGCCCGAAAACGAAAATGCTCTCTCTTAATCATCTGAGAGAACTTTTTTTGCATTTCGCTAGGTCTGCCTCTAGGTTAGTTGGTTCACTGTTTCGTTCCAGACATTTTTTTCTGGACAGAATCTATCTCACATATTTATAAGTCTACCATTTATCCTGGCTTTGATTATGACTGCCACAAGTGGTCGTATATATTTAGAGATTCTTGATAAAATCCAAAGAAGAATTTAACCGGGCATGTCATCAGTCAACTTCCCTGGGCCTTTTCTATAAATACTTTCATGGTAATTGTCTGAGGAACTCTCCTCTATGGTACCTAGACTCTATGAATTTAATCACGGTACTAGATTGGCGTCACGGACCAAAGTTTAAATAGCACTAGAATTCCTGCCTTTGTATTTATACTGCTAAGAGATGAGTAAAAGGTAAGCATCAGTATTACGTAATTTTTGTTAAGTGAGACAAGGAATGGCTTGTTAATTTTAATACCCCAAAAAGAAACTGCTCTCTATTAATCGTCTGAGAGAACATTTTTTTGCCTTTCATCAAAGTAGCTGATGCTAACCCCCAGGAGAGTAACTTTTTGCACCTTCTCGGGTAGCTTATTCAGTTGACATGAAATAGAAAGATTATAGTGAAATAATTGCTAGGTCTGCCGCTAGGATAGTTGGTTCACTGTTTCGCTCTAGACGTTTTTTCTGGACAGAATCTATCTCACATATTTATTCGTCCTGGCTTTGATTATTACTGCCACAAGTGGTCTTAATGCTTCACATATATATTTAGAGATTCTTGATAAAATCCAAAGAAGAATTTAACCGCGTATCTCATCTTCAGTCACTTTTCCACTGTCGTCATGTAATTTCCCTATGCGTTTTCTATAAATACTTTCAAAGTAATTGTTCCAATGAACTCTCCTCTATAGTACCTAGACTTTATGAATTTAAGCACGGTACTAGATTGGCGGTAAGGTCCTAGCTTTAAATGGCTACATGTAACCGTAATTTCTATGGTAACAGTTTCTTCTATTGAACTTCTTGCCTTTGAACTCTCTTCAGGCTTCTTGCTTTCCAGTCACATTTAATCTCCAAAAATTTAAATTTAAATGTCAATCGTTTTCTTCTGTCTTCTTAATTCTTGTCCCTTTATTGTTCTCTCTCCTTAATAATGTCTTTTTTTCTCATATTCTCTAACACTTACTAAATCCTTGCGGATTTATTGCCTTGCTTGGGGTGAAATTATTTTTAAAAAATGACCTAAGCACATTTAAACGACCTTAGACGAAACTCTGCACCGTGAAAATTGGCGGGAAATATTCGAATATATGGTTAGAGGAAATCAAAAACTAGAATTAATTACTTTTTCTAACCCTTCGGGCCTATCTTTGGGGGGGACATATCTAAGAAAACATTTCGGTCACTTCCAAACAAAATCCAATTATAAACAATATCAGTTTGTTTTCTTTTTAATGAAAAAAAAAGATGAGGTAAAGACTTGAAGCATCGAAAATGTGGTTCTACAAAAGGATGCTGAGAATGCCATGGCCCGAACATGTGAGCAACAATGAAGTTTTAGAGGAAATCGAAAATAAAGACTTATACTTAACGGCAGCAACAGTTGAATTGAAATTTCAAGGGTAGATAATGTGAAAGGAGGGCTTAGAAAATTTGATACTCACAGGACAGATTGAAGGCTGGATCGACAGAAGAAAACAACGCATAAGCTACGTAAAGAACTTCAGTAAATGGACAGTTTAAGAGAGAGAAAAAAACTACGAATTTTTTCAGCGCTACAAAGGACAGGAAATTGTAGAGAGCCAACAAAGGAACAAGGGCACATAGAAGAAGAAGAAGAAGAAGAAGAAGAAGAAGAAGAAGAAGAAGAAGAAGAAGAAGAAGAGGACAAGAAGAAGAAGAAGAAGAAGAAGAGTATCGGTCTGTAACTGCTAAGATTGAGGAGTTTCTATAATTCACTTTAACCTCTTCGTAACTGACAAGTAGTCCACAACATTTACCTACTGTGCACAATAAAATTAGCCAATACGGACGATATGCGTTGTGATTTGTAATAGAACAGGAAAGACAGATAATTTTTATTTCAGTTAGAAACAGGGACAGTGTGACTTTGGTGTATTAGGCTGAAATCTGACACGGAGATTAACGCCTCGCTACCGGATGTAGTTTATCGTCTTCCCCAGGGAGGAAGAGACATGAACGCCAATATCCTGACTCAAAGAAGAAGAAGAAGAAGAAGAAGAAGAAGGAGAAGAATCAGCACAGTTTTAAATCTGACATTTGTAAATTAAAGACAATGGACATAAAAACGCTTTATGAAGTCAGGGATCAATTTGACACTATATTTATATTATAAACAGTACCCTTCTTTTAATTTTTTTTTTCTTTTCAATTCTGGCAAATGTCGCTTGATGAAGATCTAATGAAAGCTAATCTATAAAATTACCTCTGCCAAAAATGTCCCCTATTTTTACGGGCGGGCCGGTTTAATTAAATAGTGCATTTGATCAGATCTGACTAGTGGCTGAGATAGATATTTTCAGTCGAGCATCAGTAATTAATGCACGCTGTTTTCACTCATTTAAAAGGCCGATTTTCAGAGACGACACTCGCTCATATTTTCTCATATTTGACCTTGTACCAGATTAAGTAAACTACGTAGAGGGTGCTTCTGTCTGTTAGGGAAATAATATTTGTTCAGCTTGATTGGGTACAAGGCGACAGTAAGGCGATACCCAATGAGAATCAAATGCACTGTCAAGGGCCTGCGAGACAAAACTGCAAAGCATCGCTTTGGAGCGGTTGTCCGATTTTTGTGTTTGTGGTTCAATCAACTTAGACACATAAATTATCTATGTAGAAGCGATGCTAAAATATGTCTCTGTATGACCCACTTACCAAAACGTGACCACTTCAGATTTCTTGGGAAGGGCGTAATATACATAAGAATTGCACGTATAGATATAGATATAAATTTATTGATAAATTTATAAGAACTGATTGCATAGATAGATAGATAGATAGATAGATAGATAGATAGATAGAAGGGAAGGAAAGAACAGAATGAGATAGATAGATAGATAGATAGATAGATAGATAGATAGATAGATAGATAGATAGATAGATAGAAGGGAAGGAAAGAACAGAATGAGATAGATAGATAGATAGATAGATAGATAGATAGATAGATAGATAGATAGATAGATAGATAGATAGAAGGGAAGGAAAGAACAGAATGAGATAGATAGATAGATAGATAGATAGATAGATAGATAGATAGATAATTAAAAGACTCTAGATAGATAGATAGATAGATAGATAGATAGATAGATAGATAGATTTTATTAAGAGATAGGTCGATAGAAATACCTTATTAAAAGGAGAAAGAAAGAAAGAAAAAAGAAAGAAAGAAGAAAGAAAGTAGAGATATGAACAGAAAGAAAGAAAGATATGAAAATAGATAGATAGATAGATAGATAGATAGATAGATAGATAGATAGATAGATAGATAGATTTTATTAAGAGATAGGTCGATAGAAATACCTTATTAAAAGGAGAAAGAAAGAAAGAAAAAAGAAAGAAAGAAGAAAGAAAGTAGAGATATGAACAGAAAGAAAGAAAGATATGAAAATAGATAGATAGATAGATAGATAGATAGATAGATAGATAGATAGATTTTATTAAGAGATAGGTCGATAGAAATACCTTATTAAAAGGAGAAAGAAAGAAAGAAAAAAGAAAGAAAGAAGAAAGAAAGTAGAGATATGAACAGAAAGAAAGAAAGATATGAAAATAGATAGATAGATAGATAGATAGATAGATAGATAGATTTTATTAAAAGGAGTTAGGTCGATAGATATACCTTATTAAAAGGAGAAAGAAAGAAAGAAAAAGAAAGAAAGAAAGAAAGAAAGAAGAAAGTAAAGATATGCACAGAAAGAAAGAAAAATATGAAAATAGATAGATAGAAAAAAAGAAAGAACTAGAGATAGATAGATAGATAGATAGATAGATAGATTTGAGATAGATAAATACATATGAATGGTGTCTGACCGAGATAGATATGAAAAGTGTGAGATAGATACATAAGAAAATAAGAAAAAAGTGTGAGATAGATAGATAGATAGATAGATAGATAGATAGATAGATAGATAGATAGATAGATAGATAACGAGACAGAGCGGAATGAATAGATAGATAGATAGATAGATAGATAGATAGATAGATAGATAGATATGAAATCAAACCTGATGCGCTTCATAAGAAAATATTACCGATCTAGCTAGCACTTTAAAGTTTCCATTTTGAGGCGCTCTTCCAACTGAACCTGACTCATCATCAATAATTTTCTGTTTGTTTACCTCTTCGTTTTTCTCCTTTCATGAAATTAAATAATAATAAAAAGAAGAAAAAAAATAAAGTTGAGAGGTAAATAGACATTCTCGGTACTGATCAACTCTGTCCGATCAGCGCATGTTCAAAACAATTGTTCAACTTAAAAACTTACCATTTAGTGAACTGAACCGCAAAATGATTGCCTTTCTACCCTGTTTGTGGCTCTCTTTTCTGGATCAGTGATTCTGCAAGCCAAAGGTGCCTTCATTGATCTGGAATCAATGATGGCGGAAAGGTTAAACGTATGGAGACGCTGCATTAAACACTGACCCGCAATATATTTCATTAATGAATAAGAACGGAAATCTTCCTTTTCCTTCCTACTGCACTTCCCTATCACATCAGATGGGCCTCATATGCCAAGCATTTCGTCCACAAAGTTTCTTACAACTATCCAGCTAAAGGAACGTGTGATTCTTGCAAATATATATTTTTAAAAAATCTCCTAAATTTAAAACTCAATAAATAAATAAAACACGAATGATTTCTCTAAACTTCGGTTGGACTAGATTAACTTCGATTACAAAACGTATTTATTGAGTTGTCATTATTGGTACATTTTAAAAAAAATAATTTCACATCAAATAAGTCAGTAAAAAGCATTATGACCTGAGTGGTTACTGACAGGAAAGAATAATGGAAGCCAATAAAAGAACAGGATACCAAGTAGGCAAAAGGGGGCTATTAATATTGCTTTTACAGTTTTCAAGAGATGCAGACGACAGAGTGTTGACAGAAGACACGGAAAGAAAACTACAAAAACTGCTACATAAGGTAGTAAAGGGAAGTGGGAAGAAAGGATTAAATATCAATTGCAAGAAGACAGAAGGTGTAGCTGCTAAGGAAAATAATGAGATCGAAATACGAATCACAAATCGGAGATAGCAAAAACAAGTACAAAAATTTAAATATCTTTTAACAGAAAAAAGAAAATGCGACACTGAAATCCGAGGGCTCATTGGAATTGGCAAAGAACCATTCCAAAAGCCTCCTTCCTTTCGTTCGTTCGTTCGTTCGTTGGCTCTGTCTTTCTTTCTTTATTTATTTATTTCTCATTATTTATATTCCCACTTCTCTATTTTCCTGTTTCTTTCATTTCACTTTCCTCACCCCTTCCCTTTTCTTTGTAATTATTATTTCTTCTGTTATTTTTTCTTTCTTTTCTTCTTTCTTTCTTTCTTTCTTTTTTTCTTTTCTCCTTCTTTCTTTCTTAACTCATTCTTTATATTCTCTGTTTTCCTTTTTCTTTCTTTCATTTCACTTTCCTAGCCCTTTCCCTTTCCTTTGTAATTATTCACTCTTGTAATACTTCTTTCTTTCTTTCTTTCTTTCTTTTTAAACGTTTTTATTCTTATTCTCCTTTCGTATAGAACACTACAGACAAGGTGTTTTGAGTTAGTTTTTTATACAATTTCTCATGTGATCTAATAATTTTTTTTCCTTTTCGGATGATAAATTATATAAAAATTGTCCTATTGTTCTTTTTATCCGAGCGCTTTCGTCTACACATTTAACCATTTTTAAGGTTGAAATATATTAACTGTTAACAAGAAATAGTTCATTGTATGTATGTACTTATAATGGTTTCAATTTCAAAACACGGTCAACATATTCTGTCCATGTTCATAGTTGATATTATTGAGTGTTGGGTTTTTGTTTTTATTAATAAGCCTTCCTTTCTTTTTAGCGTTTTTTTTTTTTTTTTTTTGCATGTAGATGATACTATTTTTGAGTTGTCAATAAGTATGTTCCAAATAGGGCCCGGTAGGTCTTCACGAGTATTTAAATGAGATCTAATTGAGCTATAGTCAGAAAGGTGTAGAGTGAATCTTCGTGTCAAACATGTTGTTGCCTATATAATTATTTACGAATTTTGATTGATGAAGAATACAATTCCTTAATGGAAAATTAAATTAGTAAATAATATTTGTCCTATTTAATTTTGTTCTAAGAGGTGAATTATTATTTTTAACTTATTTTTCAGCCAAAATTAAAGCAAATATACACGGGTTCACCAAAGTGATTAAGAATCAGTAAATATTACGAAAATTATTCCTTCACATACACACACACACACACACACACACACACACACACACACACATATATATATATATATATATATATATATATATATATATATATATATATATATATATAATTCATCGAGTCTAGAAGAAACTTCAACAGAATGCAGAAAGCACTGGATGGCCGTTCCGTCCTATATTTGAGACTCATCAGCAGTGTGCATCCACTATCGAGAATTGAAAACCGGGCAGTTACGTTATCAGGCAAACGTCATACCAACGGGCCTCGGTGAAGAAGAGGTAACGAATTAGACTCGATATAGCGCCGCTCGATCACAACATATCGAGTCTAATCCGTTACCTCTTCGTCACCGTCGGTACAGTTGGTATGAGTTTTGCCTGTTAACCTAACTGTCCGGTTTTCAATTCTCGGTAGTGGATGCGCACTGCTGATGAGCCCCAAGTATAGGACGAAACGGCCGTCCAGTGCTTTCTGCATTCTCTTGAGGTGTCTTCTAGACTCGATGAATTACTTAATTATAAAAATCCTCCTAATTTCTATCACACACACATCTTACTTATTATAAAACGCAGATTGTGTGTGTGTGTGTGTGTGTGTGTGTGTGTGTCTGTACGTTTATATATTGGATCGGATTTCCTACATTTTTCAACCGATTTCAACAAAAGTTCACAGAACTACGTAAAATTACCTTGCGGTGGTTCTGACAGCGCCAAAAATTGGAAAAACAATTGTTTATGCACGAAATCAATATGAAAACACGATTAAGAGGCATTAATGAAAGGGGAACAACTTATATCGAGTTATACTTATTAATATCGAGTTATCGAGTTATACTTATTATAAAACCCAGGATGGTTGTTCATGTGTGTGTGTGTGTGTGTGTGTGTGTGTGTGTGTGTGTGTGTTTGGTTATATATGGTATCGGATTTCCTAAATTTTTCAACCGATTTCAACAAAACTTCACTTTTTTTTGGCATGTAGTGTTTCTTATTGTCTTGCACACTTTTTTCTTTATTTTTACATTCAGAATGCTTTAAACATTCCATTTACAAGACAATTGTTTATAATAAAATTCTATTCAATCGGTAGACTCATAACGATTGAAAACAATGTTTTGTTTGAGGTTGGGTTTGACCAATTCGTAAAAAAAAACAAAAAAAAAAAACAAAAAAATAAAACTATTTAAGACATGCGTGTCCGTCAACCTTAAACAATAATCTTTGTCAATTTTATTTTTCAGTCTTTATGATGGTCGATACTTGATCTATCTCTTACTGTTACATCCCCGGGCAACGCCAGGCTCTCCTGCTAGTATACATATATATGGAAAATAATATAACAAACGCCCATATCAATACTAGGGATCCTCAGGTTAATTGTGCCTATACTGTTTTCACTTAGATATCATCTTCTTTGATGTGTGAAGCCCTTTCACGGTGCATGTGGTTGCCGTTCTTCACAATTTCCTTTCTTTTTTTTGTTACTCTAAGTAACATTTGATCCTTTGCCATCCATTTCATTTCGTGTTCTGCAATTTACGGTGATTCTCCTTTACTTCACTTGCCTTTTTTTATGCCCTGTTAGTTTTAAATTCTCTATGCACCCGTTTTGCGTCTTCTTTCCTTATTCTGAACATGAATGTAAGTTTCTATGCTGCAAGGTTGAGGAATACGGCTCACTAAAGCCGAGACAAACTACACGTTCAAGTTATTTTTATTTTATTTATTTATTTATTTTCGTTGATTGATCTCTCAAAAATGTCTGTCTGGTTCTACACAAAGATTGAACACCATATGCAAATCAAATAATCACCATTTCCTTCTTTTCTAGCCATTATTTATGTGGAAATTGTGCATTTAATTTAGATTTTTAAATCTAAATAAATCATTCACTCGCAACTAATTTACAATCGCCTGACGAGATGCATTGATACGCATCGAAAGACGACTGCAAATGTGTAACGATTTTGACATGTTTTCGGTGTAATAACCTAAAATAAATAATATTACTCTACTTTGTATTGAGCTCTCTTTTAAATTAATTGTTACGGACATTGGAATTATACTCTGTTCGTTCTCATCTTGCCTGGATATATATAGTGATTTTCCAAGCGTAGCTCAGATGTGGCACAAGGCCGAAAAATGATTTTCTGAGCATAGCTTAGATGTGGCACACGGCCGAGAGTGTGGAGCACCCTGTCACTATTCAGTCGTAACAATTTTAGCGAGACAAGCTTGCTAACCATTAGACCACGTCGAGGTGCCCAACCTCGATATATATATATATATATATATATATATATATATATATATATATATATATATCTGTGTGTGTGTTTCAAATTGTTTCAGAAATATATTCACACTGTGAATCTTTTGTTTTATATTATAAAACCACGTATATATATATATATATATATATATATATATATAGATAGATAGATAGATAGATAGATAGATAGATAGATAGATAGATGTGTGTGTGTGTGTGTATTTCTCAAATTGTTTCAGAAATGTATTCACACTTTGAATCTTTGTTAATATAATGTCATTTAAAGAACATCAAATATTTATAATTCAAAATAAAGTGTACCACCTCGTGTAATTATTTTGAGCGATCGTGCTTGTTCAAAATGAGAGTCGTTCTGAATCAGCCACTGACAAACAATTCCATCGAGTTGAGCACAACATTAAGTTGTTCATTTAAGATTTGAGCGCATTCTCTTTCAATGGTTGCTTTCAACTCATCGATTGTTTTTGGTTTTATGCGATTAACTTTATTTTTAGGTGTCTTCTTAATACAAAATCCATTAGCGTGGGGTGTGTTGAATGAAGGGGTGTGTCAAACTGTTCCTTCTGCTTCAAATGTATTTCTAATCCAAGCGATGATTAGCCACCATTGGTCGATCTGCTTGAAACTCCTTTCAAAAGCATCTTTGCGCTTCGGTTACGTTCTTGCACTTCCGGTAGCACTTTAAATTGAATTTTCTCTTTTCC